TTATGTGACAGGTTGTATTTTAACCCTCACATTTCCTTAGGACATGGATTTTGTGAATTTCCAACTGTCCCTGCTCACTGGAGCGTTAAACATTAACTAAGATTTTGGTGTTATTCAAAACAGAATGATCCTGTAGTGATTTATACACCTTCTTATAATAAAACTTATAAGGAAATTCATGGGTTCTTTTGATTTTCTGTAACGTTTTCTTTATACAAAAATGAATGGACAAAACACACAATAAGATGAGCGTACTCAGTGAATTTAAGTTGATCTAACAATAAATGCGATCATTTATTATTTACAGAATCAAATAAATCACTAGCTTACTGTGGACAATCAAATTTCCTACAAAAAGTTTAACAACAAACTTTTAGGTTTAGATGTTAATAAAMCATTTGTTTGCAGCACATTTTCTTAAATTATGGCAGGGCAGGTTTAAGAGGAAAGAAMGGTGGAGGAAGAGGATTAGTTTTAACKTTATCCTTTAAAGAATGTGGATTTTAACCAGAAAGGGCATATGTCTCTCAAYGAATTCAGCCAGACCTCAGGTACGCTCAGTAACAAACAGCCATTAGCTTGACCGGGGATAGTTTCACCCACCACGACTTAAGTCTGRGGAAAGATTGTCCAATTGGTGAAGAACGTCTCAGAACCTCATCCAGTCAGACACTTTCGAGGCATGTTTACGTTACTCCTTCAGCATCTTCTGGGCTGCTTTTATTCGAAGATCAGAGATGAAGCACTTTTTGGTATCYATCTCAAAAACAGAATACTTCTGCCATGGAAGTTTCAAATCAAAAGTTTCTCTGTGAGTAACTTTAGTAAGCTCAAAATAGACGAGACCGAGTGATGGTCTGGTCTGGGCTGAGAGGTTCCCTTTGACTCAGTGGGTTAAACCTCACAGCCAAACGCTGGTTCTCCTCCTCGGAGAGCCAGCTGGGTCCTCGTGAAGCACAAGAGCGTTCGCTTTCCAACTCAACTCATCACAACTGACTGTGTTAGTTCAGAGATGTTAGTTTAAAAAAGGACATGTTATTGAAGCAATGCCAGGTGTTGTTTGTCTTAAACAAAATTGTTGACATCTGTACAGTCGTACAGCTCGTTCTGACCTGCTCTCTGCTGAGAACACTTTAAAGAACACCCGTAGAATGATTCACTGAAAACTTAAAAATGAATTATCTCATATAAAACAATCATTATAATGATTCAGATAAAAATAATTATAAAATGTTTCATAATAAAGCTTAACCATAATGCAAAATTTAGTTATGTAAAATATTTAAACTTACAAATCTATAATCAATTACTGTTTGTTTCACAGTTAAAGTTCAAGCAGTGATTTACATCAAAGCACAATGAAACACTGTAATAACTTTTTGTGTTTTCTTTTTTACACATTGATAAAATTATGAATCAAAGAAGATTATTCTGTTTATTATCTGGTTAATAATAAGAAAATGTCTCTTTACTGTTTAAGAAAACAAGTTGTGACTCTAACTTGAACAGAGTTCTGTCTCTCTGAAGGAGGCCTTCTGAGACCAAGGTCAAAGACAGGTGGAACTGTTTATTCCACCTCGAGGTGACCACTACAATCCCCTCCACCRAAGGTTACTCCCACATTTTGAAAATTATAATCTATGTTAATTTTATGGGGATTTTTCTGAGAGTATCATTTTTTCTGATACACCCTGTATAACATCTGAGGTTTAGAGAGAAAATGACCTGCTGCTGAGCAGGAGAGAAGAGGACAAGAGAAGTGGTGTGCACCACTTTCAGCTCATAGCGCGGCACCGCACAGAGTTTGGCAGGACCGTGTGTGTGTGTGTGTGTGTGTGTGTGTGTGTGTGTGTGTGTGTGTGTGTGTGTGTGTGTGTGTGTGTG